ACTCTGAAACCATCACGTCAATGAAAGGAATAAAATCGAAAAAGTAAACAAAAATTCAACAAATGAATTCTGTAAAAAGCAAAGGAGTGAAAACGGGAAGTGCAACAGGCTCACCTTGCAATGGAACAGCAAGAACGAATAAAAGATGAACACATTCAGTAGCAGCTGAAAACCATAGCAATCACATCAAAGTGGGCTTTGAAAGTGAATAGTGAAAACATTCCTAGCCAGGGAAACTGACAGCGGCCAGCGAAATCCGGATCAATGAGAAGCGCACTGAAAAAAGCCCTTTGAAATGACTTTTAAAAAGAAAGAGTGAAAGCATCTCGTCTAGCAGGCTGAGGTAGCAGGGCCACCACGAATTCACCGAAACGCAGTGGAACAAGCACTTTAAAATAATTTTGGAAGAGACAGTGAAAGCATCTCGTCTTCGCAGGCGAAGGTAACAGGGCCACGGCAATGAACTTAGCCAAAAATGCGTTCTGAAACAAGCAAATCAATAACACTTGAGAACAAAGTCCAAAACAGACAACACCAAATGCATGAATAATATCGTCAGGGGTGAACACTAAACAAACGAAATGAACGAACAACGAAATCAAAAATATTCCGAAATCGCTCCGTTGCGAAATCCCTATACGGTACTCTACGCTGAGAATGCATGTTTTCCAGCGTAGGATACTCCAGAATTATATTTTGGGAGCTATTCCTATCAAAATCTACGATTTGGCTCCATGCCAACTTGTTCGCGCAATCGGCACTCTGCTTGTCTGCATCCCCTGGGGAGCCCCGCGAGCATAGCATACGACCGCTTTCGGGGCAGGCCGCAGCCGGGGAGCTCCCCCAATAGGGGGCCCCTCCCTTGTTGGGGGAGCATAGCATACGGCCCCAGGGCCTAGTCACATGGGTTGTTGTCTTTTTGCAATCACGTGACAGTTTCGAAATATGCGTCATCGCGGACTAAGCCATAGAGGAGCAGACAAAAACAGCGCCACGCCATCGCTCGCCCAACCCCCCCCCCCCGTCCCCGAACCCGAGTTTCACCAAAGCTAAATTAAAGAAAGATGTGACACTATTCACAGACCTTTTCTAATGAACAAGTGCTGAAAAAAGCGAAGCAACCAACATTTGACGCAAAATGGAATTGGCGCCTTGCGGGCGTGCTTTGAGTGTCATTTGCGTACAACACTGCAGTTCACGACAAATTCGTGCTGTGCTATGTCGTTTTATGGTGCCCGAAAGTGATATTAAACTGGCATTGGCCGATGTCAGACTCTGCG